TAAATATATACAATTATCATGTGCCAATTATAAATAAAAATTAAATTTAAAAAACTGTGGCTGTAGTACAGCACTGACCTCTTAGAAACAGGATGTCCTCTCATGCATGTTGCAGTCATTTGGCACCTTTTGTTTTGCCCAATGCAAGCAACAATTTGTTACTAATTAAAAAATATGTATGTAAGTAATTAACTCTTTGAATCTGATAAGGGCTAATTGTTTCTTTACTGATCAAATCTATCACCCTGCTTAGTGTTGACGTCCATTTCCACGGGGCTCTGAGACAGTCCTCCTTTCTTGAAGAGACAAACTCTGGCCTGTGACTGATTGCAGGGTCTTCCGGTAAGCATCAGAATAAAACAAAAAGTATTTGTGGATGACAGAGGCTTAACACAGGGCTGTAGTTAATTTGTTGATGGTAATTTTCTAAAGTGAAAGAACTCATGCGTCTATAACAAGAAAAATGGGATCGACAGAAAATTTGGTTACTTTTGTAACACAAAGGTAGTAAAGCTAATCCACAAAGTTTTAAACACGATGCATATAGTCATTATACAGATTTTCAGTGAAGACAGTGAATATTACATCTGATTTACAGAAAAAAATATTAATATCATTTTTATAAAGGAAAAATATTTGAATTTTATAATTCAGGAACACACAATGTACATAATATATCATGAGTATATTAAGAATTCAGTAGTAATATATACCAAGAGAATATCAAGTTGAGATTCAGTAAGTCTTGAGTAGATCCTAAACATCTATAATTTAATAAAACTTCATAGGAAATATTTTACCAGTATATGTACAGAGGTTTAACTAGGTGTCATTGTGTAACTCGCAATTTTCACCAAATATTGTTTCTGAAATTTATCTACGTTCTAATTGCTGTAGCTTTAGTCCATTCATTTTTACTGTTATATCATATTCCATTGAATGATTTATCCAAAATAATCTGTTGATGGACATTTCAATTGTTTTCAGATTTATGCTATTAAAAAGATTAATTTTACCTGCTTTAAAACATACCAGTGGAATTATACAGTATTCCCTTTTTTGTGCTTGACTTCTTTCGTGTTTTTTTAATTTTTAAATTTTAATTTCTGTGGGTGCCTAGTAGATATTTATGGGTTCATGTTTTGATACAGTTATGCAATGTGAAATAATCACATCACAGAACATGAAGTATTCATTCTCTCAAGCATTTATCCTTTGTGTTACAAACAATTCAATTATACTAAATTACTAAATTAGACTAAATTACTTTAAAATGTATGATAAAATTATTATTGACTATAATCTTTCTGTTGTGCTACCAAATAGTAGGTTTTATTCATTCTTTCTACTTTTTGTACCCATTAACCTATCCCTCCTTCCCCTTCACCCTTCTACTATCTTCTCTAGCTTCTGAAAACCGTCCTTCTACTCTCTATTTCCATGAGTTTAACTTTCTTTTGCTCAGCATAATGTCTGTGAGACTTAAAAAACCTATCAAATGGCCAGGCAAGGTGACTCACACCTGTAATCCTAGCACTTTGGGAGGCTGAGGTGGGCAGATCACCTGAGATCAGGAGTTGAAGACCAGCTTGACCAACATGGAGAAACCCTGTCTCTACTAAAAATACAAAGTTAGCCAGGTGTGGTGGCGCATGCCTATAGTCCCAACTACTCTGGAGCCTGAGAAAGGAGAATCACTTGAATCTGGGAGGTAGAGGTTGTGGTGGGCTGAGATTTCGCCATTGTGCTCCAGCCTGGGCAACAAGAGGGAAACTTCGTCTCAAAAAAAAGAAAGAAAAAAGAAACCTGTCAACCAAGTACAATGTGGGGACCTTGTTTGGACCATAATTGGAACAAACCAACATATGAAAAGCATCTGTGCAACAATTGATATTGATATTAATGAGTTACTATCAAATTTTTACTAGGTGTGACAATGGTATTGTGATTATGTTAAAAAAGCTCTCATCATTTAGAGATTCATACTGAAATACTTTTGGGTGAAAATATATTATTTGCTTCAAAATGGTGGAGGTGGGAAAATGTGGAGCATGTGACTACAAATTGATAAATCTTGGAATTAGGTGATGAGAAATGGGTGTTTAATAGATTATTTTCTCTACTTTTGTATATATTTGAAATTTTCCACAATAAAAAGTTTTTTTAAAAGAGTGGTGCAGAGATCATTTTGTACAAATCTCCTTGTATACCTCTGCCAGGTGTTTATATATATCTATGGGTCCATTTGAGGTGTTATCAAATAGGCACCGTCTGCTAGATAGGACCGAAATTTTTTACAAAGTCTATATGTATGGCAGGTCACAATCCAACCAATTGTGTATGGAAGGTCTCATTGGTCTACATTGTTCATCTAAAGAGGAGGATGAGTGCCTGGTTTCAAACACAGGCTTTTTAGTTGAGCACATGGGGATTAAGATAGCAGCTTAGTGCTATCCTACTCATACCATCAGCACCAGGTCTTTTCTTTATTGTCAATGTAATTTGTTCGTTTTTTTCTAGACCTGCCCCATTGCATGAGTCATTCCAGAGGGTCATTTAAGCTCATAGATTCACAGTCTCCTCCCTTAGGGCTGCCAGATTTAACAAATAAGCATACATCCAGGACACCCAGTTGTATTTTAATTTCAGATAAACAAAACAGTATTGCATCAGACTAAAAATTATTTATTTTTTATCTGAAATTCAAATTTAACTGGCTTGTAATAAATTCAATCTGGCAGCTATACACATGGAGGACTCTGTGAAGTAGAACCAAAGGGCTCCAGTCAACAGCCCCCACTGAGCTCCCAGAAGACACCCCCACCAGTTGTCATTCATGTGAGTCAGGACTCTAAGATAACTCAAAGTGTAGCCTCCAGATGACCACAGCCCAGGTGACAGATACCACATGGAGCCAAAAACAACCAGCAGAGCTCGGTCAACACACAGAATCCTGAGACATAATAAGCAGCTATTGTTTTGGGGTGTTTTGTTAAGCAGAAATGGATATTCAAAACATGTTATTTGAGTATACTCTTTCTATCATTGGATAATGTAGGTATTTCCTTATTCTAAAAGCCTTGGTAGGACTTTGTTATAGTTTTAGATACAGTCTGTCTGTGGGTTAATGTGTGAGCATAAATTTCTGAACATTCCATCAATTCCTTCTTGAAGGAATTTCCAAGAAAATTTTTCTGATGTATGATTTTCATTCTACTTTTGGAATTTAGAAACTAATTCCTATCCTTTTTCATAAGATGAATCTCCACTGTAATCATGCTTGTGAAGGGAGTAAGAAAGTGTTGCTATAAATGGCTCCATGGGCCACATGGAGAACTATATCGTCAGAAGTGTGCTTGGTGAGCATACAATCAGAACAGAGAGGTATTTATTCACTTTGAGAAGTATTCCTCAAAGAAGGTGTTCTGGAATATTTTCCCCTGCTATAGGGATAGGCTTTAGCAAGGAAGTCATTTCCTTGGGCACACAAACTCCCTCAGCAGATAGCAGATGGAATATGCATTTTAGTTCTTGATGTTTGTGGCTGTCCCATTGTAGCACTGCTAGGTGGATAAGTCTGTCCAATTCCTTAGTTCATTAATAGGAAGCCCACATGCCAGCACGTCTAAGACACGTTCTCCAATCTCATCTTTATAGGGAATAAAATTGATGTACTATTCTCCGTATGCTTTTGCCATAACTCTTAGTTGATTTAGAGCTCAGACTTGGAGTAGGAGTTATTTTGAAGGCCACTTAAAGAACCAAGCAGTTTGGAGCAATATCATAGAAACAGTTGGGAAGCCAGTGAGACCCAGAAAAAGGAAGAAGAGTTCGAGCCTATTGAAAGACCCACTCCTGAGGGCAGAGCAGAACAGATTTTCAAAAAGTTGATACATAATATTGTACATATTTATGGGGTACATGTAATATTTTGTTACATGCATAGAATATGTAATAATCAAGCCAGGGTATTTAGGGTATCCATCACATCGAGTATTTATCATTTTTAGATGTTGGGAACATTTCAAGTCCTTATTCTAGCTATTTTGAAATGTATAATACATTGTTGTTAGCTATAGTCACCCATCTCTGCTATAGAACATTATAACTTATTCCTTTTGTATCAAGAGTTTTAAAGGGAAAGGGGCTTTGGCTGTGCAACCCATGGTTCTCCTTCTCAGCTCACTAATCAGGTAACTAATTCCTGTGAGGAGTGAGTGTGCAGAGAGAATGGAATTGTTTTTTGTCATGGATGTCCTACGACATGGATGAAAATATCAGAAATGGAGGATAAAAATCCCCCAGGATAACTCAATACAGATAGTCCCTGACTTATGATGGTTAAACTTACGATTTTTCCACTTTATAATAGGTTTATGATATATTAAATGCATTTTTAATTGTATTTTCAACCTAAAGATAAGATTGTCAAGACATAGCCTCATCCTCAGTTGAGGAGCATCTGTATATGATTCCATTGAGTAAGTTTCTGCTTACTAAATAAGTATAATATTCTTGTCCTGCTTCCTTGAAATAACTCTGAGATTCCCTAAATGACATATTTTGGTGTCTGTAGGTCATTCAGTCACGTGATTATAGGGAGTCTCTTAGTTTTCTGCCACAGATGGCTAACTGCTTAGCATGATCTGTGAGTTGTATCTGTTCCCCCTCAGAGGGCTAGCTCATCACAAAGAGCCGTAGGATACCTCCCTGGGTCTCTGTGTACTGATGATACTCCCCTACTGTCACTTTTAAGCAAATAAAGTTCCTGACAACAGAGATATGCTTTGTTTCCACACCTCCAAAATTCCTCTACTGCCCGGGTCCCAGCCTAGTTCCTCTAATTATTATTTTAAGTTTTCTCAGGTGGTGGTCTGAAGAAGGTGTTTCGCTTTCAGGGAATGGCGAAGGCTTGGAAGGGAGGGTCGCGCGGAAGCATTTTCGGTGTGGTGGACAAGTTTGCGCATTGCGGTTACCATAGTAACCTGACGTCATTTTGGCGACCGTGACAACGATGACGACTTTTTGATGGAGACCAAGTTGGCCTAGTGAGAAATTCAGGGTTCCGTCTTCAGGTGTTTAGACTCAACTGTTGCTGCGGGTACTCTGCGGTGTAGAGAGAGGAAGGGATCCCGCATTCAAGTTGCCTTGTTCCCGCTTTGAGGCAAGTTGCCCTTGCTGTCTGATGAGGCAGGGAGAAGTAGGACTCTCTTGGCCCCAATGAGTGTGGTGTCCTGCTCCAGGGATGTCCCGGAGCTACTTTCCAGGTAAAGGCAAGGTGCCAAAAAATGAGACAGGTAAACACCCTCTGTGAGCCTAGCGTCTTCCTCTTTGAAATGGGGATAAAAATGCTCACCCACAGGATTGCTGGAATCTTCAGTGATACAGTTGCAAGCCTGTAGGTAGCCCTGTGGTTATTGTGGGATGGTGAATGTGTGAATTCAGACCTCTTATTTTTAATTCAAATTTGTTGTTAGGAGATAGATACGAAAAGGAGAAGAAAAAGGCCCCGGTGAGAAACTTATTGTACCTTTGGTTGTTTTGATCACTACCCAATTGTATCAGTGTCATTGCTCAGTTACTCAGTGCCTAGCTTAATGCCTGGCACATAGTTACTCCAAGAATGTACAGTGATTACTGGATTCTGTCTGTCCCTGTGCAGCTCTTCATCAGGTGATTGAGCTCATATCAGGTGTCTGCAGAAGGTAGGTTTTGAGGATCTGGGCCAGGATGGCTGCTGAAACTTCTACTCCAGATTTGAAGGGCAGCAGTCCTAAGGAGACCCCAGCATTTCCATCCCTGGTGGGATATGACACCTGGCTCAAGTGAGTTCATAGATCTGGACAGAAGCATGTTGTGGAATAGCTCTGCGAGGTTTATAAAATAGCCTACAAGCAGAGAAACTCCTTTGATCTCATAATTGGAGAAGAGGTTTAGCAGGTGGAATTTCCTTCCATAGGCAGCTATGTGCTTTGTAGTAGCTTTTGAGGCCCGTGTTAAAGATGCCTTTCATTGTCACAAAGCAATGAATAGTTCATTTGGGGAAGCAACTTTATGTCTAACATTTATTTGCAATAAATTTACATATATTTTCTGCCTATATAAATAATCATCAGTGATTCCTATGTATCTCTCCAATGGATATGGAAATATGCAGCTGTTAGGTCTTCCTAGCAATTTGCGATTGTTATATAAATTATTTCCTGGTGACCATGGTATTTTTCCATCCTATAATAATTTTTTTAAGACAGAAACTTTGCGTTACTTAAAAATATCAGTTACTATACCTTAATAGTTTCAGAAATAAGAATTGCCCTGTAATTCACTCTATTTTAATGATACTAAGCCATGTTCCCTAAAATTAACAGTTACTCTTAAGTGTCATCATTATTTATTTAGAATGTATTATTTTTATTTTTATTCTTCAAAAGGAAATGAACATCCACTTTTCTGAAAATATTTAAATATTGCAAGTTATTATTATGGTTATAGGTAGTGCAGAACAATTCCTTCAGACATAGTAAGGATCTATTAATATAACAAGAGTGTAGTAATGGGAATCCTTTGGCTCATTCATTTAATTGCATCAAAAACTTAGGATTATACAAATGTATTTCAAATACTCTCCTTGAGCCATTTTGATATACAGTACACTGTACATGTTTAAAATATATAGTTTAATAAGTTTAACATGTGTATGCTCTGGTGAATCTAATATTATAGTCAAGGTAATGAACATATTAATCACCTCAAAAAGCTTCCTTATGCCCCTTTGTAATTCTCTCCACCTACCTGTCTCTAGCTTCCCTCTCCATGCCACCCTGTTTCATTCCCGGACAACCACTGATCTCTTGTTACCATAGATTAGTTTTTGTTTCTTGCTCTTTTATGTAAATGGAATCATAGGAATCTTATTCTCTTTTATCTGACTTAATTCATTCGTTAACAACAACAACAGCAATAAAAATGACTGAGGCAAGTGTCTCAATCCCTAGAGGTTTATCGAGCCAAACTTTGAGGACATGCCTCAGAAAGTTGCAAGTCACAGGAGCATCTGTGACTTGCGCTTCCCAAAAAAGGTTTTGGGAGCTCAGTATTTAAGGGCAGAGAGCAAGTAGGAGTGAAAAAGCGAGGAAGGGTAGGCAGTGAGGCAAATGGTTACATTCTTGTGAGGCTCTAATTAGCGCTCAGTAAATCTGAGTTTTACACAAGATAAGGCAAACACTTGAAAGAGAGGGGAAAGAATTAATTATATATTCGTTTTAGGGTACAGGGAAGAGTGATTGACCTTGTCTTGGTTCTGGGAAGATAAGCTTGTAACTGACACTGTCAGTATAAGATTTAGCAGAACTCAGTTTTAGGAGTTAAACTTAGGTTGCAGCCCTAAGATTACAATTAGCATGTGCTGGTTTTATAGGGGGATATGTATCCTGAAAGATTTAGGGGCTAGCAAGGAATTTCCTTGTGACCAATATGTGAGGGAGGCTATCTGAGGAGGTATAATGCCTTTTGTGGGAATCTGGCTTATGTATTATGTTGTGACACAGGGTCATGAAATTACAGCTATCTGGGGACAAAGGTTGGCAGTATTGCACAATTCATTTCCCAGGCTTAACTTTTCCCTTGGTGTGATGAATTTGGGGATCCTGAGATTTCATGTTATTTTACATATTTGATCTAATTATTTTTAGATTGATCCATATTGTTGCATATATGAATAGTTCCAAATTTGTTCATTTACGCTTTGGATGTTGCTGTTGGTGTCATATCTAAGAAATCTTCACTTAAGCCAAGACTGCAACAATTTTCTCTTGTGTTTTCTTCTTGAAAATTTATAGTTCTAGCTTTTTAATTTAAATTTTCTTTTAAGATCCACTTTTAGTTTTTTTTTATCATGTGTTACATAGGTTAAAGTTTATTTTTATTAAATAAACCTGTTCCAACACAAGTTGTTGAAAAGATAATGTTTTCTGCCCTGAATTGTCTTTGCATCATTGTCAAAAATCAGCTGTTTGCGGTGGCTCAAGCCTGTGATCCCAGCACTTTGGGAGGCCGAGGCGGGTGGATCACGAGGTCAGGAGATCGAGACCATCATGGTCAACATGGTGAAACCCCATCTCTACTGAAAATACAAAAAAAAAAATTGGCTGGGCATGGTGGCGCGTGCCTGTAATCCCAGCTACTCAGGAGGCTGAGGCAGGAGAATTGCCTGAACCCCGGAGGCGGAGGTTGCGATGAGCCGGGATCGTGCCATTGCACTCCAGCCTGGGTAACAAGAGCGAAACTCCGTCTCAAAAAAAAAAAAAAAAAAAACAACAAAAATCAGCTGTTCATATATTTGTGGGTCTATTTCTGGACGCTTTGTTTTTTCACATACATTTCTACCTTGAAGGGAATACTTTACTCTTTGCTTAATGTAGTTTATAATGAAGCTTAAATCAGGTAGTGTTTGTCCTCCAACTTTGTCCTTTTACAAAGTTGTTTTTCACAGTTTAGGTCATTCGCATTTCCACATGATTTCTGGAATAAGTTTATTGATTTCTTCTTAAAAATGTATGCTATGATTTCTATTGGAGTTGCACAGAATCTATACATCAGTTTGAGGAGAGTAAGTATCTTAACAATTCTGTGTTCTGACTTATGATGATGCTATTTCTCTACATTTATTTAGGTCTTCTTTAACTTCTCTCAGCAACGTTTTGTGGTGTTCATTGTACAGGTCTTAAACACATGTGGACAGATTATTCCCATGTATTTCATACTTTTTGATGCTATTATAAATGGCAGCATTTCTCTTTTTTTGGCTAGAGTGCAGTGGTATGATCATAGCTCACTGTAGCTTCGGTCTTCTGGGCTCAAGTGATCCACCCATCTCAGCCTACTGAGCAGGTAGGACCACAAGTGCATGCCACCATGCCTGGCTAATTTAAAAAAATTTAATAGAGATAGGGTCCTGCTTTGTTGTCCAGGCTAGTCTCAAACTCCTGGTCTCAAGAGATCCTCCCACCTTGGACTCCCAAAGTGCTGGGATTACAGGCATGAGCCATCATGCCTGGCCCAATGGCAGTATTTTTAATTGCAACTTTAATGTTATTATATATTTACTGAATCATTAGAAGCTGAGTATTTAACACTAGCAGCTGGGGAACCTTTTTGTTGAAAGCACAGTCTACTCTAGGATAGAAAAGATGCTTAATACCTAACGTCTGTATTAGTCAAGGTTCTCCAGAGAAACAGAACCAATAAGATACTTATTTTAAGGAACTGGTGTATGTGATTCTGGACACTTGGTGAGTTCAAAATTTGATGGGGAAAGCCAGCAGGCTTCAGACTCAGGAAAGAGTTGAAGTTAAAGTCCAAAGGCAGTGTACTGATAAAACAGGAAGAGCCAATATTGCAGATGAAATCTGAAGAGTGAGCTGGCAGAATTCCCTTTTCTTTGGAGGATATCAGCTTTTTATTCTACTGAGGACTCCAGCTGATTGAATGAGGCCCACCCACACTGGGAGCGCAATCTGCTTTACTTAGTCTGCCAATTTAAATGTAAATTTTCATCCAAAAACACCCCCACAGAAACATCCAAAATAACATTTGACCAAATATCCGGGCACTGTGACCCATCGAATTTGACTCATAAAATTAGTCATCACAACACACATTTGCCTGTATTTCCAGTATCAGCTTTTAAAGGTAATTGGTAATACACTGAAACCAGGGAGAAAAATGTCACCGAGACATTTTCTACAGGTCATTTCCAGAAAAATGAATTACTAAAATAAAATAGTTTTGTAGCTCTCGACTTTCTGTGTGTGGATAGATTTTAACTGTGGAGTTTTCTTTTTATACTCCCAAACGAATCCACCTTGATGAATTTATGGATTCTTGAGTGATGAGAAATAGAGGGAGAGAGCATGTATGTATGTGTGTATTTAGGTATATATGAAGGTGTATATTGCAGAAGCTGCCAGGAATGTTTATTGTGAGAAAAAATTGAGGTTAATTACTGTGCATCATGTCAGTCCTATTCAGTTCTTAGCACATGTTAGGAATAAGATAAAGGAGTTTTTTTTTTGTTTGTTTTGTTTTTTTTCCCTCCCAGCTTTCCTTGGCCAGCATGGTTACCATGGTGACTCAGTGACTGCTATGGGATTTGGTGCAGACTGAAAATCTATTTATGATTCTTGTTTGAATCATTTACTACTGTGATCATTGTCAGGGTTGCTTTTATAATATAATTCTGTCACTTTGTTTAGATTTGTTAATTGAG